TGGAAAAATGAAAGAAAGGAAGTTTGCTTAAAGACATGAAACGCTCTTTAAAGGAAGCAGAAATCGCGTTAAAGCATGCGCCAGCCATACTAAGTACTCTCGTGAACGAACATAGACGGTAGATCTATTGATAATATCCCTCGCCTGTTCTCGCGTCCCGGTTATAAGGACTTGCTCATAGTTCACGGATGTTAACCAACTGGAAAATAAGGGAGACTCGCTTGGATCGTCGAAAGAAGAGGAAACGAGAGAAACGGTGCGGGCAAGCCTTGTTAGAAGATTAAGAGAGGGGAATGTGTTTCCTCCTTTTTCTATTCTTTCTCTTGTTCGAACGATCATTCAATTATTCTTTTATATCGGTCTGTGATTATTGTTTTTTTTATTTTGATTATTATTATCAATATTGAGAAATGCATGATTCGATTTCTATAAAAATTTTGCGATTTATATTTTGTAATAATTTGTCATCTTTCCGAATGACTTATATGGAGAGAAATACCTTGCAGATGTGTTAAAAATAATAAAAACGCGCTACTTAAATATTAATCAATTTTTTATACTCTTATTTTTTTATTTCAATAAATGTGATTTTCGCTATATTTTTTCTCCACGATTATTTCTCTGTTTTCAATTAATGTTATTAATTAACGATGTTGATTGCAGATGCATATATTCGATCAACTTATTAAACTCATTTTATATATAAATGCATCAAATAGAAAATAATTATTCATGTAATTTAAAATTTATATTGCAATTTAATGGTGTATTATACTTATATGACACAATTATATTTTTTATAAATATTCTCTCTGTATTTTATATTAACTATTCACCAAAATTAAAAAATTAAAATTCTTATTTCTTTTCCTCATTCATATGTAAACAGAAATATAAAATGTTGAAACAAACAAACTCAAAGTTTTTATATCTGTTAAAACCATTGCAATCATTTGCCAAATCACCTTGATATTATTATTAGAAAAGTTTATTAGAAACAACAGAAAAAATATAACATATTTTTGAAAGCTTTTGAAGATTTAATTTCACGCATGTGTATCAGCTTTGCTGATATATAATACGGGAAGTACGAAGTTCAAAATTTCAAAATACGAGCCGAGCGTGCTTGAAAAGCTAGCAATTAATGGACGTTTTACGTGGTAAGCAGGAGCTTACAATGCAGGTGTCTATGCGCTGGTGATAGGTATCTCTTGTGCACTTTTATGTACCACTACATGGTCCTAAGTATCTATCTTAGGCATCTATATATAGACATTTAGTATATGCCATCTATAGTAGTTCGTTCGAGTGTATACCGGGTGGCATTAAAAATTTCAGTATCTTCTGATGTTTTATGTAACGAATTATTTTTACCCATTTGTTTCGATAAAATATTTGAACACAGTATTTTATATATACGAACAAGTGTGTACAGTAGATATAAGCTATCGTTGCACCGATCCTGCTGCTATTTTTCTCCGTTTGAAACAGCTAACGCGATTGTACTTACATCGATCGCACCCTGTTTCGCTGTACAATTTATTATCCTTCCCTACCCGTCCGTACGATTCGCCGTAGCGATTCGAAACGGTAATTTATCTAACGTTTCGCACAATTGAGCTATCATCGCGCCCGTTATAATAAAGTACGAGGCACGATTCCGACACTCGCAAGAAATCGGAATCTCTTCGCGAGATCAGATTTGCGCTCTGCACGTGCGCGGCACGTTCGTCGAACGCATCCGACTCGTTCATCCCGACATCCGTGTACGATGTCTATTTACCGCTGGCGGATTATTTTACGGCGCTTAAAGACATGTTCTTAAGCCGCATCTCTCCGATACTGCGGAGGCTCGACCACCTGCAAAAAGGAACGCGCGCGCAATTATACTATTTCTCGACGTTTATATCCGCGGCTCGCTGCTCATTTCAACATCTTTTTGCGATTTTCTTTCCGGAACGATATCCCAATGACGGGAGAAAAGCGAGGAAAGTATCGCGTGCGTCGCGATTTTGATCGGCGAAATTGCACGTTGCGATGAATGTTTCTGATTGAAAACAAACTTTCGCGAGAGATAGATGCATGTAGCCTGCGCATTGATTGTAGAAAGTTCTCGTATAAGAGAAAACGAGACGTAAGTGGCCACCCGGTACATTTAAGAACGAGCACCAGCTGACTAGCCGCATTTTTCATTAACACGCTGTAAAGCCTCGTATGAATAGCTGAACCACAGAGAGCGATGAGTCGCGTTCACCTCGCGGCGGACGTGGCTGAGATTCTTTTACGTTAAGACGCGCACGATAGCGACTGACGCTGGTAGGGAAAGATCATTATGCTCGGGGAAATTTATCGGGACGATCTAGAGACGTTACTCGGGGAACGTTATCGTTGCATCAAATTTTTTAACGAAGTTTCAACATGACTCCAAAGTTCTAAAGTAGCCTATGTAGCTTATAATAACAAAATCTTAATGTGCTATTGGAAATTGAAAAAAAGGAGAGAGAACTGGATATTAAATTACTATATTTAATGTTAGGACATTAACATTATATAGACCAATGTAGACAAGAAATTTATAATCAGTTTTTAAATTAGTCTTGATATCTATATTAATTCTAGTGAATCAGGCAGCGTGCTTAATTCCATTTGACGCATTCTTCAAAAATTCCAACATCACCTTTATTTTATATCCTTGCTCAATCTTGCTTTTTTCTTCTTAATTTCTCTCGACTCCGAGAATCATTAGGTTTCTCACTTTTTATCCTCGACTAAAACATTAGTATCGAATCATAGCTCGACGAAAAGAGAAAGAAATATGAAAAGAAGAAGAAAACAAGATTGGCGTGCATATATTCTTGTGGGAACGCGGATGAAATTCCTAACGGAACTGTGATGTGTGCGGTAATACGAATGCCGGCATGATTGAGATGTACGTACGTGAGCTTCAACGAATCTTCGAAAATTGTGTACTTGCTCCAACTTATCATGTCTTGACAAGTTTACTTATACTTAATTATCATGTCCATTTCGATTCAACATCGATCACTAATATAACACGAGGATGATTCATGTTCATGTTAATCATCTATGTAAACAGATTTTCGAGTACACAATTTCATAAATTAAATCATAAATGATCTGTAATTTTTATCTTTTATCGTTAGTCAATTTCGTAAAAATGCTGTTGTTGTCCTTTCTCTTGCAAGTTTTACATTTTTTATTCTTTACTTAAACATAAATTCGAAAATTCATTAATCACCTCTAATCCATCGTGCTCATTCTCGTGCTTTGATTAAATACCTATGAAACTGTTCACAACTAATCTTATTCATTGTATACATTTTATCAATTAATATTTGTCTTTATATAAGATCAAAATAATTTCTAATCAGCATTCCAAAATACTCTTATACGGCTGCTTCGCATATCCAATTATACTAGATAAATCCTTTTAGATGTAAACGGAAATTTGTGTTTTTATATACACTCATATCGCGCGTGCTGCGAAATAATCATACCTCTTGAAACGTCCGTTTCAATTGGCTCGCGTCCGGTCTTCGCGTATAATTTCACATATCCGCTCGTTACGCGGCTATTTCAGTCACGACTAATCCTGCAAAAATCCGTAACGCGACGCAACGCGCCTCAAACCGATCCAATAAGCGTAGGACCCGTAAACGTCGCGCCGAGGTCCACGAGGCAAAGCTCACGGGATGATTTACGGATCGAGAGAGGGAAAGGCGAACGAACGAACCAACGAACGAATAATCGTGGTGCTGCGTCTGAAGAGGACGGCAATCCAGTAAAGAAGAAGAGGAAGAAGAATGAACGAACAGAGGCAAGAGGCCTCTCTGCATATACGACGCGCGAACGAAACGGAACGAAGGGAGCGAGGACGACGGTAAATCTTGCCGCGATTGACACGTGTGAAATGCGTCGGCCGGGCTATACCGGGGTCCTCGTGCTTTGACTCCGATCCTCGTGCACACGCGCTCAAAGACTCCGAAGAGAGAAGGCTGCCAGCTGACTCGTGTAGAGCACACGCTAAAAAGCTGCCGCAATATGCTCCGCATATTCCGCCCTATTAGAACCGTGGCACGCATAAACTTTTCTCCAATTCTAACCGAAATCGATTTGACCTCGAACGAACCCGGAAGATGAAAACGGAAAAATGGCAGGTCGTTAAAACAAGTTCCCGCAAACGGATATCATAAACTCATATCGGATCGGTCCTTGTATTATATACGCGTGCAATAAAATCAACTATATCGTACTTGGCAATATACACAAGCAATATATGAAAGAATTGATTTTTATCTAAACTCGATTTTGAATTCAAATATCGATCTAAAGTCAAAACGAAAAAACGACATCTTTGCAGTCACTAATCTCTATTAATGATGATACTATTACTTGATATATTGCGAAAAAGAATTCAAACGCGATCAAACGTATAGAGCGCTGCGCGGCAATTATTATAATAATTTTTTACTTGACAGGAACAAAGAATCATAAAAGTATATCGTAGCACTTCGTCTCTTGCCACGAAAATTTGTTACGTCTCTGTAATACACGCATATCGTTTTTTCGGTCTCGACAGTTGTATGTGAATGCATTTACATGGCAAGTCAGAGTATGCGGAAGAAGAAGTCAAATTCATGGGCTTGTCAGCATCACTTTTCAAGGCCGATTTGAGTTGCGTTTAAATATACTGTGCGCTTATATGTGTACGGTCCTTAACTTACGACCATTTGAAGAAATGGTTCCTATTCGATCTTTTAGCACGGTCATTTGTCCTGCCATAAGAAATGTCCGTGAAGCAAAGAGCCAACAATATTTTTCACCTAACAAAGAACAACGATCTTTTGAAAAATCGATAATATTATCGACTTTCCAATGTTTTTTTCTATATTGGCAAACTTGTTTTGTCCAATCCTCGACCATTATATCCTGACGCGTGTCAGGATTCCAACAGTGAGTGCAACAGCTTCACATCTTACCTTGAAAGTGACATGACAAGACTTATCCCTGCGTTGTCGGCTTTTCCGCGTCGCAAAATTTTAGAAGAGCTTCTAGAAGATGCACCATGGACGCCAGGATGAGTAGGATTGCCTGTAGGAGAAAGAGAGAAAATTAGAAAAGGATGACATACGGTGCTCGAGGAAGCGGAAGGACATGCGTCGGAGGATTTTCGTGTCCAGTTCCACGATTTTGCAGCTTCTGCATTTCGCCAAGGCTACCGTATGCGTACATGCACACGCACAATCACACATATATACAATATATGAACGTGAAAACCGTAAATGAATCTCTATTCAAGATTAACCGATGCCTGAGCTGCTCATGAAGGAATATTGATAGCGGTTTCTAACAAGCATGTTGCGGCCATCAATGGATTTCATAAAGAATTATTTCCTTATTATATTTTAATTTGAACCATCTACATTTTATATGCAAATTGAAACTGCTTCACAAGTTGTATAGTTGTATTATTTATATATAATGTCATACGTCGTATTATGACTCTTCCGTAAAAAAGTCTAATTTAATTAAAATTAACTTGAATTGTAATTAAATTTAAATTAACAAAGTCAAATCATTTTTTTATCTAATTTAGTGTAATTTAGTGTTATCTAATTTAGTGTTTTTATCTAATTTTTGTCTAATTTTTGTAATTATAAAAAATATTATACACTTATATATAATCATTTTACATATATAAATATATAATATTTTTACATTTATTTATTCATACTTATAATCATTTTTGCTATAACATATTTATGCACTCATTTTTTTAATCGAATTTTGTCATTGAAAAAGTATATAATTATTTCTAATGTGAGCAGATAATTGATAATGTATTATACATACATAAAGTTACAAGATTAGTGCTTTCAGAAAAAAAATGTTCTCTCTTTTTTTTATCATAAATATCACATTTATTTTTATATGTATTCTATCTATTTCAGTAATATGATTGCCAATATATGCAAAGTTTAATTAAATGTCTCTAAAATATGTAAATCTACAAATAAAAATACCTTCCATAAAATATCCGAAAAGAAAGATATGTGTCGAATCGACAAGAAAATCTTCGATAATTGTTACCATCATCGATTTAGGAAATAATTTAGGAAATAATAATTTAAAATCTTAATGATGCATGTACCGATTTGTTTGTCAAACGAATAGTTGTTTTATATTTTTTATTTTTATTTGTGGATCCATCAGTTTAATTAAAATGACTATCTGAATATCTTCGATCGCAGCTGAAACGCTACATCAGCTAATTATTATTTCGCAAGATCGTCATTCACGATAAACACCGAGACGCAGACGCCGCACAGAATAACCGGAACAAGATTGAAACGAATCTTTTCTTCGACCTTATTGTTTAACGTTTAAAACCGGAGGACTAACCAGCCCTTCACCCGGAACCACCATTTGACCAGCGCGGATTCGATCTCCAGTTAGTCGGCTATGGAACGACTCGAGAAGACTCGCTTGCATTATTCATAACCAATTCCCGAATCCTGAACTCAAAATGAATCAGCATCCAGGTCAACTTCTTACGCTTTCTCTTACTCCTCCTTCCTCTCCATCGCTGTCTCTTTCTGTTATCCATTCTTTTCCTTATTTTCTTTCAATTTCGTTTCTCGTTTCGTGTCCCCACTCTTCCCTTTTCTTCAATTAACGTATGTAAAATATATTACTTAATATCGTTTACGTTGAGTTTGATTTATATTAATACATATTAATATAATTGTAAAATAATAATGTGTGCCGCGAATTCTCATATACATCACATATAATAAAATTCTTTCTACTATGTTGTATGTGAGCGATCTGAAACGAATCAGTTAAGTTTATTTTTCCACTGCTGTTTCGTCGCAGTCGACATCTTCGTTATTTCTCGATTGAGATTTTATTTTCCTTTCTGAAACTCGTACGAACATTTAATTTACAAACATAATCTTGGCAATACATATCACGACTGAATACTAATATTACATATATTGTAATGAGACTATTTGCGATAATTTACATCGTAGATTATCGTAATTAAACATTAAATTAACAGACGAGAGAAGATGCAAGATACAACAAGCATAGCGAACAATATATCGAAGAATGAAGTAATGTGCAAAATTTTAACGACAGATATTCACGTTGTCCGGCGACATTAACGTGTGAATAGAAAAGATATAAAACGACGATTGGCAAGGACGACTTGATTTCTCTTGCCGTCTTCATTATTTTTATTTTAATTTTCTCCTCTCTCTCCCTCTCTGTCTTAATTTATAATAAAGGCGTAATAATACTATAAATATAAATAGACATTATAAATCGTGTTTCTCGTCAACTTAGTGTGAAAGCACATCGCAAGTGTCTTCGCTAATAAGACGATGTCCTACTTGCCAGCGTCTTTTATGGAACGTAAACGACGAATCCTCAGAATCCAAATGACAATGGCTATTTGTATCATTGTCATCTGCGGCAATAGAAATCACTATTACAACAATCAATATTCATTTCAAGCGCGCGCGATATCACATATCTTGAAATAATCAACATTTGTACACGTAATTGCGAAATATATCACAAAACTTTCTGCAAATGACTACGAAAATATAATAAAGAAAGATGTTCTTTGAAATTAAAATTATTAAGTAATATAGTAATGAATAAGTTTTTAATTATTTAATTTTAGTATACTAGGAGATTTGGAGAGAGTATGATTAAGCCTCACTTTTATTTCTCTTTGAAAGAATTTCTCTTTACGATTACACGATCCTTTCGTTGCCATTCACCAGATGCAGCCATTAGATATGTTCTACAAATATACATTTCTCTTTTGCAACCAATGCATGGTTCGGCGCGAATATAGTCGCAGCGGAGACACGAGCTGACGTTTAATACCTTTCTAGATGAATATACAGACCGAGGAAATGCGAACTTGATAAAAAACACCGACGACATAGGCACCGACGAAGTGAATGCGTAAGCTTCTAATAGTTAATAGCGTTTACTCGCCGTTTGACTACGCGAGAAGGCGGAACACTCGAGGCTCTTGGACGCAAAGTACGTCAAAGTACACCAGCTGACAGCAATCGTAAAGTACATTATATCTTTGATCTATATTCGGCCGTGGTCGCTTTTATCTTTTTTTTCTGGGTTTATTATTGGCTCTGCAGCAGGAGAAAATCTGATATGACAATTATTCCGAGGAGAAAGAGAGAAATATGCCAACTCACGACTTAATTAAGAAAATGTCAATATGATTTATTTAACTTTTTATTATTGTCTAAAATATGTTTGTTAAAATAAAAGAACGCGTAGATTTTCGAATAAGACTGAGAAAATGTTAAAAAGTTCCTTTAAACAATCCTGGAAAAATATACTAACGATAAAGGAAATTAGATTCGAGAATGACTCGAGGAACTGGAAATTTAACGAAAGATTTTAACGTAGGTCAAGGCTAAAGTCGCAAAAATTAGTACATAATTATGGAACACTCGCAATAATCTCTCGCTTTGAAAAGCATAGAATGAGTTTGTAACGGCAAGATCTAGCGGTACATCGCAAAGTCCGGCACAACTTCCTCTCTTAAAAGTATCCGCGAGTCTTTCGATGGAAACTAGCGAGCGATTCTTATAGCAGTTCTTACCGCTGCGTCATGTTTCATGCTCTTTTCCACGACGGTATTAATTCTCCAGCCATGAAATCCGCTTCGTTGATTAACTACGATGAATGATAGCATGTCTTTCTTTATAAATTTACTATTAATACTAAAGTACTTTTTTAATATTTTTTTCTCATTTAGATAATGTAATGATGCAAGAGATTGCAATTTTGCTTATTTTATTGTTTTCATTACTTTTATTATTTTTAATGCGAAATCACAATAGCGGATTTTTGAAACTTATCTAGATAAGAGATAAATATATTTCCAAAGAATAATGTTAAAATACGACGCTTCTACTCACTGCTCAAGTAACATCCCAACTAGCATTTTTTTAATTTCGACACATTCTCGTCCAGGTCAGAGTGCGCTAAAAGCGCCAGGGAGAATTGATATAATCGGTGGATCTCATGAACCTAGGAGGTCCGGAACATCCCTCGAATATGCAACATCAACAGGCGCTGTTCGTTATCTTGCCAACCGGCAGAAGTCTTAGCGCGGCAACAATCGCTACGATGGAAACTCGACACGACGACATCCACTAGTGCCAGCTTTCGGCCGCGAGTCAATTAATATACGTCCATTCAAAACGCGGCCGCGCCTTGCCTTTCCGCAAAGATACACCCGGTACATCGTGTCGGTCGTGCGGCACGGAAGCCCGGAGCTAAGTCGAGAGATGGTGAGGGTGATGGAAAGAAGCTGCGAGATGCGATAGAGAGAAGAGCGGAGAAAGAGCGAGAGAGAGAGAGAGAAACAGAGAATGATAGAGAAAGGAAAGCCTCGTATACTTGCTCGGCGCACTGAAAAGGGTAGCCCACGGAGCATAACCAAGTAGCCCACGACAATAAACAGGGAAACGTTTTATTAATTGCCGAGATCTGTCAGTGTCTCCGGCGAGCTCACTGCCATATTAAATGACCGTACTGCCGACCGAAACCGAGCGACGCGCGGTGGGCAGCTCTCGGCCAGAACGTCGAGTCGGTTATGCTCGCCAACAATCGGTGGTCGCGGACGTCGAAAGGCCCACAACCGCGGGGCTCCTTCTGGATATTACATTTCCTCGTGGTGCACGACGAGAGTCGTGGTAGCGCCCGTTGTGGCGTAACAGGGAGGCCTCCGATGCAAGATGCGGGGAAGCGGGAGGAGAGCGAAACCTCCGAGATCTCGAGAACCGGTCCGCTAAGACGACCCTGACTGTACTAACCACCTGTAGATACGAACGAACGGATCCGCGCCATCTTTCTATGTACGTCTATCGAGAGGAATTTCTCGATTCTAATCGGGCAGACTCGACGCGCGACGCGTTGTTCGCCTCGTCGCCAAGTGGAAGTAGCGGCGCGATGGAAGTAGCGGTAAGATTTGATCTACGCCGATGTGAACGTTATTAACTCTTTGACATCTACGTTTTTTTCTTCTCGAAACATCG